TATATTTCAGTCATTCAGTGTTAAAAGTTTTGGTTCTTGAAAGTCAGTTTTTTTTATTTAAGGTAATGTCCCTGTAGTTGTACTATTATATTTGTTTTGTTCTTTTCGAAGGGATGGGACCTTGCATTAAACCTGACAAGAAGTAAAAATGATCATTGGGCATTATATGCAAAGTCTGTGCTTGATAGAACCCGCCTTGCACTTGCAAACAAGGCAGAATCATACCACCGCATTCTGCAGCCATCTGCTGAGTACTTGGGATCACTTCTTGGAGTAGACCAATGGGCTGTATGTCCTTGCTTCTTGCGATTATAACATGCTGCTTTGTATTGTAAAATTTTTTGTATTCTTCCTCATATTTCAAATTTTCAGGTTGACATATTTACCGAAGAAATCATTCGTGCTGGATCAGCTTCCTCTTTATCCTCACTTCTAAACAGACTTGATCCTGTTTTGCGGAAGACTGCAAACCTTGGGAGGTTGAGTTTGCATACTATTTCCTGTTTGAACTCTCTCAAGAAAACAGTGGTTAAATATAGCTAAATGAAGTGGAAACTAGATCAAATATTATACTGCAGCATGTAGTAATGCCTCTTATATCCTATGACAACCTTCTAATATACATCTTTGTCTCGCCATGCTACAGCTGGCAGATTATTAGCCCTGTTGAAGCTGTTGGGTATATTGTTGTGGTGGATGAGTTGCTTGCTGTTCAGAATAAATCATATGAGAAGCCAACAATTTTGGTGGCAAACCGAGTAAAAGGTGAGGAAGAAATTCCAGATGGTACTGTTGCTGTGTTGACGCCTGATATGCCAGATGTCCTATCTCATGTTTCTGTTCGAGCAAGAAATGGAAAGGTAGTTATATGTTAAGATTACAAGTACCACGTACCATTGCCCATATGTTTTATCATATAATGTTCTTTTCCTCATCTCGGGTAGGTTTGCTTCGCAACGTGCTTTGATCCAAATATTCTATCAGACCTTCAAGTTAAAGAAGGGAAGTTGTTGCGTCTGAAGCCAACATCTGCTGATGTTGTATATAGGTATCCTTTTCCCTCGCTTAAGCAAATTTATGCCGTCCCATTTTGAAGCAGTTGAAAATTTTGAGATGATATCAATTGTTTACTATATTCCACGGCTTCTTCCTTTTCCCTTTTCTGTCAACTAGTCTGTTCACTTTTTAAGTATTGTGTTATGCATAAAAGTGAAATAATAGCTTTTTTTTTTTTTCGCTTAACACTAGCGAGGTAAAAGAGGATGAGGTATCAGATGCGAGTTCCAAGCATGAAAATGATGGTATTCCATCAACTGTAACTCTTGTCAGAAAGCACTTTAGTGGTAAATATGCCATTGAATCTGAAGAATTCACAAGTGAAATGGTTAGGCTTCGAATAAAAAATTATATTCCTGTTCATTTCTTAACTTTATTTATATTGCCAAGACAGGGACTCCTATGTTCTAATGTCAACTTAGACATTCAATTTTGCTTCTTTTAGGTTGGAGCAAAATCACGTAATATTTCTTATCTAAAAGGAAAAGTGCCATCTTGGGTTGGGATCCCTACCTCAGTTGCCCTTCCATTTGGAGTATTCGAGACAGTTCTGTCTGATGAATCGAATAAGGTTTTTCTTCCAGATTTCCTCTTGAAAATTACGTATAATGGTTGACGTAAAGTTCCATCCCATGCAGTGTGCTAGATCTCTATCATTTAACCCTCATGTAAATTTCATAGGATCTCGAAGCTTTCATTATTCTTGACTAATACTTTTACCTTCATGCATTCTGGGTGGCCAGTGCATTTTAGATTTTTCTTCTGCTGCTCGAGTGCATGTTGAAGGTCTATAGTTCATCCAAAAGAGATAACTGTTTAAGCTGAAATAGTTCTTTTCTGTTTTCCATAACTTAAAAGGCAGTGGCTGAAAAGGTTCATGATTTGAAGAGCAAGTTAGGAGAAGGGGAGTTCAGTGCTCTGAAGGAGATTCGCGAGACAGTTTTACAGCTGACAGCACCCCCTCAATTGGTATACCTTTCCTATTATTGGCATAACATTATCTTATGCATGCATATATATGTACTTTTTAAGTTATAACACAAAGTATCGACAATCCATTTTATATGATAGACAAGCGTGGTGTTTATCTCATCTCTGCTGCAATTGGTTTTCCAACTCCAGAAAATAGATAATGTGTCTTTTTAAACTTATTATACAGTATGACTTTCCGCTTCATTTAGCTTTTCATTTTCTTTATAAAATTGAGATGGAAATTTCGTAGAATTTTATATCATTTGACACCAGCAAAATGCAAGGATGGCCAACCAGGTAATGCAGCCCCATTTTGACGATAATAGTTCATCTGCGAATACTATTTTCAGGTGCTACAGTTAAAATCTAAGATGAAAAGTTCAGGAATGCCTTGGCCCGGTGATGAAGGTGAACAACGATGGGAGCAAGCATGGACAGCAATAAAAAAGGTGAGCTATTCCAGTCTGTGCCTAATGTGATGCTGGTCCAAGCAAATAATTGGCTAGACTCCCAAGTCCAACTCATAGATATGAGTACTTTTAATTTGGCATCCTCCCAAAGGTTTCTTTTTTTGTCCAAAATATTGCCATATTTTGTAGTTAACACATACTTGGCCTAATACACTGCAAAATTCACCTTTCATCCAGCCGAGAGACATAAATTCCGGTTTTATCCATGGTGAAACTTTCACATTTTATCACAATTTTAGCTGGTTTATTTATGCTTTAGGAGTTGTATATGCTCTTTACTGTTATTTCATATGTCATGTGTAGGTGTGGGCTTCAAAGTGGAATGAGAGGGCATACTTCAGCACGAGAAAGGTGAAATTAGATCACGATTATCTCTGCATGGCTGTCCTTGTTCAGGAAATCGTGAATGCTGACTATGCATTTGTTATCCATACAACTAATCCATCTTCCGGAGACTCATCTGAGATATATGCAGAGGTATTATTAGAAAAAAAAATGCTTTGGCTTTCCACGTGTCCATCTAATCAATCTAAGAGAAATTTTTGTCTCATTGTTGCAATAGGTTGTGAAGGGACTTGGAGAAACTCTAGTAGGAGCATACCCGGGACGTGCTTTGAGTTTTATATGCAAGAAGAATGATCTAAATACTCCTAAGGTAAATCTGTCATTTGATCCCTCAAATGGAAGTTGTAAAATGTATTTGAAAGAATGAATATGGAACCACCGTTAGCTCCAATAATTCACAAATAATTTCTACAAATCAGTGTATAAGATGTAAATAGTTCAGAACAGAATTTTCCCCTCATCTTTTGGACTCCGATAATCAATCCACTTAATATAATGAGTGAAACTACATAAAAAACAATTTCGGATTTGACATGTTTCAGGTGTTGGGTTACCCAAGCAAGCCCATCGGCCTGTTCATTAGACGATCCATTATTTTCCGATCTGATTCAAATGGTGAGGACCTGGAAGGATATGCTGGGGCAGGTCTCTATGACAGGTATTCTTAAATCTCTTCCTACAATAATCTTTCTAACTTGTACGAAATCCTTATGTTGCCCTGTCGAGATGTTTGTTCCTTCCGTATTAGATCCGTTCTACCAGGAATGTTCAAATACATAATTTCCCTCGTTATTTCCAAATATTTTCTTTCAGTTTCTTTTTTCAAGTGGAGTGCCGTTCCTATTCTATTGCCTGTACTGTCAATCATCAAGAATGTTTGAAGTGAGCAACATTATTTAAATATCGATATCAAAGCATTAGAAAAGGGAAAAGGACAGATACAGTGTTCCATGTAGCAGTGACAGTTGTCGGCATTTAAGTAGAATTATATTGCTACTCTAATCCTAAAAATGAAGTGTTAGGTTCTATCACTACTAATAATTTTGGATTATATCTCTTTTCCTTTCTGTCCATCATGTAATTCCATGTTCAGTAATTGATTGAGAACTTTTTCGACGTAGCGTACCGATGGACGAAGAAGAGAAGGTCGTCCTTGATTACACAACGGATCCACTCATTGTGGACGACAACTTTAGACAGTCGATTCTCTCTAGCATTGCTCGTGCAGGAAACGCAATTGAGGAGCTTTATGGATCTCCTCAGGACATTGAAGGTGTGGTTAGAGATGGGAAAGTATATGTCGTCCAAACAAGACCACAAATGTAATCCCCTCTCTCTCTCTATTTATATGACTTTTCCTATGAGGAAAATGTCTGACTGATTAAAGTCATATACTGAAACAAAGCAGTAAGAAAAGTAATAGTTGTTGATGAAAGTTGACAGAAATAAAGAGGTAAAATTGATATCTTATTACATTACAATTGAAAAGAGTTGGCCAGTTTCCATCACACTTCCATCTTATAGCAACTGGCTTAGCCTTCTCGGGCAGCTTAATTATGACATACAGATATGCATATTCAGCATTAAAACCGCAAAATTCTTATGCAGTTGATTCATTGACAAATAAAACTTGACAGACTTAAGAATTATTTTCTATATTATGAGTATAATGCACAGGAACCAGAGATCTACTATTACCAGAAAACGTCAGGGTCCTGAAAGTCATCATCGTGATCTGGGCTTTGATAGATTGTCCAAGGGAATTTTCAAGAATAATGAGCCAGTAGCACCAAACAAGCATCAATTTATTCTATATTTTCGAACCGTTGCAATCTTCGTCTTCTGCTTCATCACCATCAGCATAATAATATTTTTATCATTACTGTTACTGAAGTAGAATCAAGGACGAGGGAATGGAGGCCTCGTACAGTAATTACGAAGTTAACGCCGCTAAAAAGTAAGTTATATCCAATCATAGAATGCCTAGCCTCATCAAATTCATTCTTGAGAGCATATATTTATGAAGTGAAGATAAAAATTTCAAGTATTGGAGATGATTAAGTGGCTTATTTTGTTTCAGATTGTGCATCGTTTAACAAATGATGCTTTGGATTCTGAAGCAATCCATCTCTAAGCATATTGCAACAAACACAGAAATACCTCAAGAGCAGTGTTATAATATGATCTTTTATTTAGTTTTTGTTACTCAGAAAGACATTACATTTTATTATGCTATAGACAATCACACAGCCTGCAACAGTACAGAGGCCAACTCAAGACAACTCCTCACAGGGGTTGACATCCCTCAGCAGTAAAAGCCGAAACGTCGAGCCAAACTTCGTTCAATCGCCCCGATGGGTGATGCGAAGAATTATACTGAGCAATGGTGTATTTTGAAATGGCTCCACTCCCTGGCAGGTACTTGCTCAAGCTGCTCATCAGAGCATCAATTTCTTTGTTAATGTTATCATCTTTAGCAAACCCAGAAAACCGCCTGACTGCTAAGCAATTGCTTGTCCACTTCTCAAACTGAACATTCAGTTCAGAGTTGGGCAGCGGCGGGTTCTTGGCATACATAACAGGCAGGTAATACCTCACCAAACGATCGAGACCATGTGTCGATGCTGTTATGGTGGTTGTGACAGGAGAAGTCATCATAAGGCGAGAAGAGTTGCTGTTAGCCCCATGAATGTACTGGTACAATCTGATGCAAGCAATCCAACAGAAACACAAGAGAATTAGTTCAAGGCAGAGCATCCCAAGAAGATCACAAGAAAAAATTTACCACATTTTCTTGGCAACCAAACAGAGAATATAGCAAAGCAACTGAATTGGAGAGCAGACCTGTGGAAGCCTTGTTGGGTGGACTTCTCAAAGGAGGCTGTTCCTTGGACGAGAGCAGACATCCATGAGACTTGTCTGTACTGTCTGATCTCAAAATCTGATTCTAAATGAATCACCTTATATTGTGGAGATTCAATCACTCGGCCGAAGCTACAGCGAAAGAAGTATATTGTTAGTGCAGAGTAGAGCAATAACTTACCCTCCATGCTTGAGTTTTCTTATTTTTCTTCAATGGCGTGGCGCTGCAAATTAAATTGGCTTTTGGCTGGAGTTAGCTTTATAAATAGCCCTGTTAGTGTTGGCCAATTTCAACTCAACTCTACCTAGTTTTGCTTTTGAATTCTAAGCAAAATATTTCGTACTATGACCCGACAAGCAAATCAAATTGTATAACAAAATTGAAATAAAAATTGAGCAGCTGTACCTAAAGGTGCACTGAGAAATAGATTCCTGTGATCAGAAACCTTAAAAAGTTCGAAGTTTGGTAGCCACAATATGTTGTCACCCAATTCAAAAGATCAGAAATGGATTCGAAATGGATCTGTTTTCTCTTTCAAATCACTAACATTTTTTTTCTTCAGTTGTTTGGTTCCGTTCCCACTTTCTTCAATTTGAAAACTTAATGCTTTTCCATCTCATCATCCTATATTCTCTTCTTTAATAACTTTGTCACTGAGCATTCTACCGGTGGAGCGCTTCCTATTAGAGTGGAAAGCGTTTGGGCTATTTCCCGGGGCCTTACTATTTTCTATTGGGCCTGGCCCAATACCAAGCCCTTCATTCACTTTTTCAAAGGAGGCTGGGCCTGAAATTGCTCTTTCGGCCCAATAAAGATGTCCGCTCATCTAAGTTTGTGGTCCGACTTCACATGCCCATAAATACGTGCACTTGTGAACAATGTGGTCTGGTCTAGAATTTCATCAATTTTCTAAACAAAAACAAACAAAATCAAAATTATATTTTGTTACAGTTTCTGACATTTTATGAAATTCTTAAAATGCATTTTATAAAAACTAAAATCAAACCAACTCCAAAAGATCCAATTCGATTTAATCTTCTCATTCTAACAATCAAATTTATGTCATATACGTGAATCTTATGGAACTAGATCAATTTTCAATGAACTTACCGTCCACGAAGTAGGCAACTGATTGACCAACTTGAACGTAGTTCAATAATAAAATACATCTCTATCATTTGTAAGGGATCGTAGGTTTGAATCCGACCCGCTCTTTGTGATATAATATTGGAAAAAAGGCAGGCTATAGTATTGCAGCAGAGACAATATAAACGTGATGTAAAGGAAGCATAAGAATATGATGAATGATGATCCATTGTTGTTGTCCCCATTGCAAGCAAATGCAAGAAGCTGCCATCAAACTGCACAATGCTCCAGCAACATCATCATGATGAAATGCACACGACGACGTTTTGAGCTTTAAAGAATATGACCCACCAGAAGCTGCTTTAAGCATGCCAAAGCAAAGAGTAGGTAGAAAAATATTATTTAACAAAGAGAAAAAAAAAAGGGTTAAATTTTCCAATCCCACCCTTTAAAATCATGGGTTTAGGCTGCAAATGGCCACTACATACAATTAATGGCCATTTACCCCTTTTTTTCCTCTTTGAAAAGCTGAGTCTGCCTATTGGACAAAATCATTGCCCAAACCATAATTGTTTCATACTTTTTAATAATCTAGTTTTTTGTTGTTCTGTCAATACGAATATTTTTGTTTTTGTAGTAAAAATTGTCAGAGACCCATAAAGCAAAACCGAGACCCAATTGATTGCGACACTATTATGAACAAATCGAGGGAAGACTTCTAAACGGCGTCGTTTCAGAGTCCAGTCATTAGACAACCAACGCTCTCGTTTCTCATGATTTTTTTTGGTTCCCCCCATCACTCTTCTTTTCATGTCGATTTGTGTGGATTTCACTTTACTGTTTGTTCTCCCACTTTAATTTCTGACTAGAATTCTTATTTTCTCTTGTTTGGTTTCCGAGAAAATGAGATTTTTAAACATTGGAACGTTAATTCTTAAGCGTTTGGAAGAGAAAAAGGGCTTGGTGGGACTTAAAAACATGTCACTGAAAGTGCACAAACATTACCTTTTAAAGTGGGATCAGATAATTATGCAGAAAAGTGGATGAAAGGAAAGAAAACTATTTTTAAGACTTTGGAGGAAGCTGACTAAAAAAACTAAGCCTCCCCCTTTCATATTTCATATATATATGTTGAGGTCAAAGGAATTTAAAGCTTTGCTTTTGCAATCATTCTATGTCTCTGAGAAGAATCAAAAGATTGAAATGGTAAAGTCCCCAACCAATGTAAATGAATCCCATTTCATGTCACATTACAAGCCCCTATCGAGAGTTCTTCTACCAAAGCATATGACCCAGAAGATAAGATTAAAAAAGGCTCATCTTTAGAGGGTTTTCAAAAAAAAATTTTTTTTTTTTTGAAATTTTATTTGGTGGGGTTTCAAGATTAACCATTAGTACAAGTGGGTCTAGGTCCATTCTGTCTTTTGCACACTTCGATTAGGAGTTTCTTGGTCAAATGTCTTCAAAATTTAGGCTTTTGGTCAAATTTGTAATCCTGCCCTCTTTTCTTTGTTTTTTTTACTTTCTATTGGGCTTGGATTTGGGATTTGGGATTTGCATAACTTCTTGGTAGAAGATGAAAAGGGGTTTCCCCAAGTGCCTCAATTCAATAACCCCTTGAATTGAGGAGACAATATGATTACATCTATGTAATGGAATGTTTCTTCTAAAACACACAGCATCACATAGGCAGGAGAAGTAAATTATTAAGGGCCTGGACTTGAGGATGTGTTTGGATAAATAATTCTTGGGTTCCTTCCAAATTATTACCAATCATTTTGCTTGGGCTTCTCAAGACACTATCACTGTAAAAATTCAATTTTTCACCCTAAATTTCTCCCCCAATAGGCTCAATTCCATACAATATTTTGAGTCAGTTTCAGATGATTCACAGAGGTTTTTTTAATGGGAAAAAAAAGAGTTCGATTAGAGATTTGGGGGAAAAAAATGAAGTTTAGATTATGAGAAGTGAGATTGTCATAATTATCAAAGCACAGTGATGTTCCATTTGTTTAGGGTTATCTCAGGTACTTTCCCAGTCCCACCAGCTTTCTTCTTCTGATCAAAGCCAATGGAAAAAGAGGATCAGAGAATCAAATTCCCAAAAAAGGAAGAAAAAAAAATGGAGACTGAAACAATTCTCTGAACAGTGAACACACAGCATGGAAAATTATTAGCTTTGGGATCAATTGCATTACATCACATTGTCCTGCATGCGCATTCATGCACGTTCCCAATTACGTTTAATTATACAATTCATCTATCCATTGCCCTTTGGCCTTTGGTAATTAAATTAACATTTTGGTCATTTCTGTCCCTTAAAACTGGCTTTTACTTCACATAACAATGAGTAAACTCCAATATTAATTAATTAGGAGACACTCTCATGGCCTGCCCTCCTCCCCATTTCAGTGTCTTGTACTTTTGTCTCTGAAATAACTGCTTTCAAAGTTTAAACTACACATTTTTTTAACTGTTTTTCTAACCCATTGACAGTATAGTTTTGTAAGAATGTCCCGTATCAGTATAGATATTGTTTTATATTATATACTACGAGACTCATGCATTTTCAACATTATTCCTACATAAAATCTTTTTAGCTAAAATAATGTCTAAACAATATCTAATATGAAGACATAGAAAGATATACTTTTTGACATGAGTGTAGTGTAAATTACAATGTGGTCCATGCCAATTTAAAGAAAGGGGGACAAATGGAGGGTTTAGAAGGCAAGAAAGTTAGCATTTTCCAGAAAATAAATTACGAAAATAAATGTTTAGAGTGAAAAATGAAAGCGAAAATAGATAGAATTTGAGAAAAGAGAGAGGAAATAAAGGATATGGGAGTGGGACAGTGGGAGCCATAATTGGGCGCAGAACAGAGCCCTAAAAAGGGACTCTACGCCAATATTAAGAGGCCCAACCCCAAGCCATAGCCATAGCCACCCAGTCTCCGCCGTCCAATTAACCAATGTTAATCAACCCTAACTATTTTATTTCTCGTTGTTTCGATTTGGTCTATTTTTAAATTTTGTACCTTCAAAACAATTCTTTTGATCATCTTTATCCTTAAAAAAAATGACGATTTTGATATATTTTTATCACATTTATTTTCATCATAATTTTAGTACGATACTTCGTTAACTAATTTGTTTCAAATGTTGTTATAAATTTTTATTAAATAGTTTTTATTAGTACGATACTTCATTAACTAATTTGTTTCAAATGTTGTTATAAATTTTTATTAAATAGTTTTTATTATCTATATTCAATAATTTCTATTGTGCATTCAAATTTTTGAAAGTATAAACACTAAAATAAACAAAATTAAAATGAATCAAATGAATCAAAATGTTTATTTTGAAATTACTTAAACTAAAATAAATCAAAGTAAAAATACAAACATCAAGATATCATATTTAAATCTTTATTTTATTTCTCGTCCGTTGGTGGCCCTCGTCAGAGAAAGTTGAAAGTTGAAGTTCCATTATACAAAATCATATAGACCCAAAATGAAAATTTTAGAAATTTTAATAACTAAAATTAAAACTAAATATAAATTATATAGACTAGGATAGTCATTTTCTTTACCAAAAAATAAATAAATAAATAAATAAGGCTCCAACTTTTTAATTTCGTGTGTTGGATTTCATCTTAAATTCCGCTGCGTGCGGCGGTACAAGTTTTATCAAACGTAAATGAGTTTTGTGGTAGTTTACGAAAATGACCCTGCCTTGCCTTCAATGTCCAACACAGTTACGGTTGATGCAATTAAATCTCTGAAAGGGGAAGTTGGCTGTCCATTTTTTATATATTTTTTTTAATTTTCATTACCCTCATGCCTATGCCTATAATATTTATGATCTTGTCTAATTTTTAACCTTTAAATTCTCTCTCTACACCATAAATATTAATTACCTAAAAATATCTACAAACTTAAATTCTTTAATTCTTCCAGCTATGTTTTTTTCTTTTTCTTTTTTGTTTATCACATTAATTATATATAATAATACTTTTCAACCGACTTTAAATAAATTGAAGTGATTTCTACATCTACATTTTCATGAATTTAGTTGAGTTTAATTATATTCAGATAGAGCAGAATTAAAGAAAGATGCTTTTCCTTTCGTCGGCCCCACGTGAAATCAAGGCCAAATTAATGGATTATCTATTTAAAAACTGGGTATTATGTAGAGGAATTATAAATACAATTCATAAACATTTAGAATTGATTCCTAACCTATAAGATTATGTCTACTGATCCATATATAATAATTATTTAAGAATTACGTACGTGACATGTTAATATGATGTAAGTTTAGAAGTTTAGTAGTGTAAGCATTAACCCGAGTTAACAACAAATAATAAAAATTTATTAGTTAAAAATTCTCCAAATGATATTTTTAAATATAACAAATCTCATCCTATTCCAATTGAGAGTAGATTTTTTTCTCTTTTTTTTTTCCATCTCTAATTTCAGTGTTCTAAATAATTAATCAATTTGAATAGCGGCATCTAATTTTAAAGTGTCATAAGATTTGGAATTAATTGTACACTGTAACAAACAAAGAGATTTCTTTTCCCTTCAATATATAAACCAAAACAATTTGAAATTATTTCATATCGTTATTAATGTAAAACACTTAATTTATTTACACGCCACAACCACATGTAAAAGAAATAAAGTAACATTAATACCAAAATTTTGAAATTTTAATAAGTTATTTTATAATACAGGAATTAATAAATCACAGTGGAAATAATATTATTTTGAAACATCGAAATTGAAAAATAATCCCCAAAACACAAACGTAGCGGATACGCATGAGCCTGCATGGGCACGCTGCTCAAACAGCCAAAAACGCGCGTGTTCCCATTTGGAAAATCGCACCTCTCACAAAACGACACCGTTTCAACCCACTCCGTCGGAAATTAAAGCATCAAAATTTTACAGCCGTTTACGGCTTCTAAACTACAACTCCCCCATAAATTATCTACGGCCGTCCATCAACTTCTAATAAATACATTTGCAAAGGGGGGAAAAAAGTGGGTTGGCTTTGATTTACAAAATTAAAAAATGAGGAATAATTGAAAGAAAAAAAAAACAATAATAAATTGGAGCAGCTGTCATAAAGAACATCTAGGGAAGGGAGAAAGAGAAACCCAACTTTAGAGAACCAGTTTTAATTCCCATCTATTCTATAAATCTCACAGGTCACAGCCATATATGTGAAGAAGAGAATAAACAGATTTTCGGACCCAGATTTTAGCCTTAACGAAAATTGACACAAAAAGCTAAAGTATTCAGTCTTTGTATCGGAGACTGGAAACACAACCCCCTCTCCTTCTCTCTCTCTCTCTCTATAATTTCTTTACGAATTTTGAGGAATTGGGCATGATTTCATCACTACCCAAGTCCAAGTGTATATATAATAGCACACTCACATGGGCAAAACTTTAAAGAAAATCCAACCTCATAAGTGAGTGACTGCCCTTTTATTTCTCCCCTTTGTTTATTTATTTTTTTCTTTTTTTGTTTTTAATTTCCTTGGAAGTCTCAAGCAAGCCTGTCAGAAAGATAAAACCAAGGCCACGGAATTAGAAGAAGAAGAAGGAGTAGTAGTAGAGAGAAATTTCAGAGGGGAGCTTTCAAAGACATTGGAAATGGCGAGACAGTGAAATTTTCAATTTAATGGTCAATTCGAGTTTGGCAATTTGAGAAGATGCTCAGTACGTTTCGTTGGGCAAAAGCTAAGAACCTATGGCGCTGCTGCGGTGATTGCAGAAGAAGACAAGGCCAATGCACACGACCAAATTACTTTGCCAAACAGACAAGACAACCAAATTTCCCACTCATGATCATGGATTCTTCTAACCTCGTCCCTGTTCTTGTTTTTTCCCTTCTTGTCGTTTCGTCGTTTTGTCCCGTTCATTCAGACGACAAAAATATCCTTCCCAATAACCACACGGCCACGCTCCAGCCGGAGGATGAATTAAACAAGTTGAAGCTCATTAGAGCCCATCTCAAGAAAATCAACAAGCCCCCCGTCAAAACCATTCAGGTACCCAATTTATTAATTTTTTTTTTCCAATTTTTCCTCTGTTTTGAAGATTGAATATGATGGGTTTTTTCTTTTTTTTTTTTTTTGGGGTGCAGAGTCCGGACGGGGATCTTATAGATTGTGTAATATCTCATCACCAGCCGGCTTTTGATCATCCATTGCTGAAAGGACAGAAGCCATTGGTAAGCTAACGAATCTGAGGCTAAATCATTTCATTTGGGGTTATGGTGAAACAGAGCGTTTGCGTTTTTAATGGCGGAAATTGTTCTGCAGGATCTGCCGGAGAGACCTTATGACCGGAGCCCTTCCGGCGGAGGGGCATCGGAAACGTTTCAATTATGGAGCATGTCCGGCGAGTCTTGCCCGGAAGGAACTGTTCCGATCAGAAGAACGAGGGAAAAGGATATGCTGAGAGCCAGCTCCGTTCAAAGATTTGGAAGAAAAGTTAGAAGAAGACGCATTAGAAGAGACTCCACCAGCAACGGCCACGAGGTAACTGTAAAGTAATTAAAAAAAAACCCACAATTTTTCTCTCCAAAATCTCACACTTCTCACAAACGGAGCCAGATAAATTAAAACAGAGAAGGGAGAAGCTGGAAGAAATGGATAACTGTCTCTGTCTCAAAAATTAATAAAATTATATGAAAAAAAAAAGTTGAATTTGAAGTTTTCAAATCTGTTCCTAAAAATTAGAAAGTTAATTTAAACACAGATTCTGACGGATAATTAAAATTTTTAAAGTGGTTAATATTTTGTTGGTGACAGCATGCAGTGGGATTTGTAAGCGGAGAACAGTACTACGGAGCAAAGGCGAGCATAAACGTATGGGCGCCGCGGGTGACGAATCAATACGAGTTCAGTCTGTCACAGATGTGGGTCATTTCTGGTTCATTTGGGGATGATCTAAACACCATTGAAGCTGGCTGGCAGGCAAGTTTCTCAGTTTTTTATTAAATTTTCTCCATTTTTTTTTTACTCTGGAATAATAATAATAATGGGTTTGTTTGGGAATTGAATTATATGGTTGGGTTGGGCATTGGAATGGAAGGATCCTTGTAATGGGGACAACTGTGATTCATCATTATTGGTATCATTATCAAAGCCATTATTGTGTGTGAGAGAGAAAAATTCTAAATTCTCAAATGTGAAAGCTACCACAGACGCACACTCTAAACTAAATTTGGTAGCCGCAGACCACAGAATTTCACACCAACATTTTTCTTCTTTTGTATTTAAAGCTTTCCCACACCCACACCAGAATTCTTATTCAACAACTATTCCAAAAAGTGGAGTGTGGGCTTTAAAAAAACCCACATTTGTTAATTAAACAAACGAAGAAGAAGAAGAAGAAGAATATATTCTCCCTTAAATTAAAATTATTTGAATTTCTGTGCAGGTTAGCCCAGAGCTATATGGAGACAATTACCCTAGATTTTTCACTTATTGGACAGTAAGTATTGCAAAAGAGAGATTTCCGAGATGTAATTTAATTAAATTGAAATGGAATTAAGTTGTTAATTGATTTAATTAATTAAACAGTCAGACGCATATCAAGCGACTGGATGCTACAATTTACTCTGCTCGGGCTTCGTTCAGACCAACAGCAGAATCGCCATTGGAGCTGCAATTTCTCCAACTTCTTCCTACAATGGCGGCCAATTCGACATCAGTCTACTGGTTTGGAAGGTAACCCATCTCAATTCCATGCTTTCTCTTAAAGGATGAGAAACGCAAAAGAAAATCAAAATTCAAATTTGAAATTGAAGTGGGTTTTGTTTGTTGAAGGATCCAAAGCATGGGAATTGGTGGTTGGAATTCGGGTCGGGCGTGCTGGTCGGGTACTGGCCCGCATTCTTGTTCACTCACCTTCAAAGCCACGCGACGATGATTCAGTTCGGTGGGGAGGTGGTGAATTCGAGGGCCTCTGGATTTCACACGGCGACGCAAATGGGCAGCGGCCATTTCGCCGGCGAGGGCTTTGGAAAAGCTTCGTATTTTCGTAACCTTCAAGTAGTGGATTGGGACAACAGCTTAATTCCACTGTCAAACTTGAAGGTTTTGGCAGATCATCCAAATTGCTACGACATTCAAGGAGGGATTAATAGAGTTTGGGGAAATTACTTTTACTATGGTGGGCCTGGAAGAAATGTGAGATGCCCCTAATTGGGTCTGTTTCTCTCCAATGTAATTTTCTTGTGGGGGTGATTTGGGTTTTTTTCGTTTTTTCTTGAGAGAAAAGTGTGAGATATTCTTGTATTTGTTTCCTATTTTAGTTCATTTTTTGGTCCCTTCTAATTCAAATCACTAAAGTGTGAGAATCGGGAGGACCATTGTAAATTTTGACAAAGAAATAGTGAATTATACTAAGATTGTGGAATTTATTCTCATTTTTTTAAGTAGTGGCAGATGGGGCTGGCATGTGAATTTCTTTGAAAATATTGGAATTTTTTAATTGATAAACTTCATTTCCGTTTGACCAATGGTGAATAAGTAATTTAGATTCATGCACGTCTAACACAATATTGCAAAGCTTGATTCCTTATAATCAAACAAAAATATGGAATCAACGCCGACATGAAATTTACCAAGGCAAAGATTATCGTCTCTTTCGTGGATAGTTTAACTAATGAGAAAGAAAGAATATTGACTTTGTGTTTCAACATTAAAATGGTGGTGATCACTCATCTACCCATTCAGAAAAAATTCAAGATTACTACTCAATAGTCAATACAACTGAAATTCCACATCCCTTTAAAAATGGAAGAAAAAAAAAAGAAAAAAAAAATGTTTGTAGCAGCCTCATGTCAGTTACGTTGCAGCTAATGAAACGAACTTACAAGCTCGGAACAGGAAGGAGATTTCCCATTTGAAATAAAATTTCATATGCAGAAGATAATCTGCAATACAAGGAAGAACAGAACCAGATCCCCTGTCGTTGTCGCTGTCGTAACGAATCAGAACAGAACCAGATCCCCGTTGTTGTCACTGTCGTAACGAATCAGAACAGAACCAGATCTTCCATCTGGAGGGATCTTGGTATTATTTGCATTGCCTTTTCCCCCAATCCGTTCATAGGCCTAAAACGACCAACAAGATCGGTTGGGTTTGGTGTCTAGATGTTCTTATCAGGATCAGTATTCCGTAATGAGGATGAGACCTAATCATTGGATACAAACTAAAATGGGTAACCATAACCATCCCAGCTGATACAACTGCACGTCAGAAAGCTCAATATGGTTCCAAATCCGATCAGTCTGCTACATGGAATCAAACTCAAAACTACCGACTTAATCCGACATTACAGAGACAATGCGTCGACATCTAGGATTACGACAAGGTACCCAGATTACTACCTACTGAAACAAAAGTATTTTGTATCCAGAAGCTTGGCAACTACTACGAAGCGAAATTGTATGAATAAGGCAATAGGAAAGGACTCTGATACAATTGCGCACGATCCCACTTCCGAGATGGCAAGAACCAGATAACCGGAGGCTACTTGTGTGGGTGATTTTATTTAAAATTAAAGAACCACTGGAAAAAATCATTTCTTTAGAGCTGGAATTCCAAATGATAAAAATTTGTGATACAACGAAAGCTCATTCAATAGATATTTCGTCAAGCAGCTTTTTGCAGGCCTCGCTGACCTCCACGTTCTCCATTTTCAACAGGCGATCCATCATAGAACTTTTCCTTCCGGCCGCTGAATATGTTCTTATCAATGTCTCAAACACCTCAGGCTCTAAAGTGTCAACAGCCTTCTTCACAGTTTCAAGAAAATCCTCTGCCCCATCTACATCTTTTTCTTCCTCAAAATGGCTCATCAACGTTTTAACAATCTCGGGTGATGGCATCCATTTCCCTCCTCTACCAATAGATACTGCTTTAGCAACACAATCAACTGCCGGTTTAAATTCTCCATTTCTGAGATGATAATCCAGAAAAATTTCCCAAGTTTTTGCATTAGGTTTAGCACCTCTTCTTCTGGCTCGTTCCTTGAGCTCCATAGCCTTCTCTAGCAGACCCTCTTCAGCATAAGCTCCTATAAGAACATTCGCTATCCTAATATCATAAGTTGAGCATCCTGATTCCCACTCCTTGAAACATTTCTCTGCACCAGGTAAATCTTTCAGCTTTGTCAGAGTTTGGATCATGTTGAGATAGCTTATATTTGCAGTTTTTGGGAAGGCCAACCTTAATGAGCGCCAGACTCTATAAACTTCAAGCAGGTTACCCATTCGTCCATATAATGTAATCATGAACTGGAAAGCAGAAAGTTCTCGATGAGAATTTCTCTTCTCCAAGTCCTGAAGTGCCTTGTCTGCCTTTTCGAACAAGTGGGCATCAACATAAATTGAGGCTAAATTGCTATATGTTGTCCAATCACCAACAACTTGGCCATCCCTCTTCATCTCGTCAATAACCCTCTCCACACCAGAAATGTCATTTAAAGCAGCTAGTGCCCTCATCCACACATTGTATGTATAGGAATCAAACATAACATTGGCAGCCTTCATTTCCTGTATGATTGCACGAACTTTTTCTGGCTGCCCGGTCTTTGTGTATAGTGTCATAACACTATTATATGACATGGAGGTCACAGGTAAGTTGAGTTCCTTCATCTTTTCAAGGAGAGCTTCAGCTTCGTCAGTCATTAATTCCTTGCAGTAACAGTTGAGAAGAGAGCCATAGCAAAGATGATTCTTTGATGATTCAGGAAGAGTAACAAAGTAACTCTCAGCAGCAGCAATTCCTCGAGCCTTGGCTACTAAATCAAGGTGTATAGCTTGATCACTAATTGTCTTGTTCATGCCCCTTTTGGCCATAGTTTCTGAAAGCTATACCACGATTTCTATTTCAGAATAATCATTTTACACAAGCAATAAGCAATAGAGATAAAACTATTTGCATAGTTTCACTAAAAGCCTCTCCAGTTCCCTCTCCAAAATAGAAACAATACAATGACGAAATTCCCAGTGTCAATAATTATATTACAATCCAGCATATGAATAGGTATATAATTGAACCTCTTTCAATCTTAGACTATAAAAGTTCTATATACTTCATTGAACCATAAAGGCATAAACTACTTTTCAACGATAATTTTAATTAACTTCTTAATGCTAAGGACGTAACTATTAAATTTTAAAATTACATGACTAAATCATTAGACAAAATACGGGGATTAAAACATGTTTTCACCAAGAAAAATAAGAGAAACGGAACTAGAGCAAAAGGCAGGAGGTATTTATCAAGATTCAAGATCACGGGAGCAAAGGAAATGGATCCAAAACAAGCGTTGAGGCAAAATCGAGAGATCAAAATTTGTTTGGGAGCTATTATCGGGCTCTTCATGTTTCTATGGTCGAAATGATCCAACAAGAAGGGTTTAGACTCATGAAAAAGTACTTAAAAACTGAAATCCTGTCAAACCTATTCTAATACAACTAGAATAGATAGCCTTAACAAGAACATTGATTCAAATACTGCAGAATCTCAAGGCTTTAGTTTAGCGAACCTTGAGAGCAGGATTATACAGCTTTCTGCCGCGAAGCTTTTTGAGCGTATCTCCCACCTCCCATTTGAAAACTCGTTTGTGACCCTTGATGAAAGCATTCAACTGATGCCGAATGCTCTTCTCTGAGCTACCGTCTTTAAAGAGCCTCACATACAGCGCTTCCTCCAGATACTTGTTCGACCTCTTCGCCACATTCTTGGGGCGACTGAACTGTCGTAACGCCATTTCCCGGCACTTCTCTCTGCCACAGCAGCGGTGGTTTTACTGCAGAAATCAGGAGTTCATCAAAACCCTAACGTCGCGAGGGGAAGGAGGAGGCAAGGCAAAGGGGTCCCACGGGGAAACCATTATGGGCTCATATTTTGGGCCTAAATCATACAGCATCTTTCAACTGTCTAAAAGCCCATGAATCCATATTTGGATCGACATCTAAAGCCCATTAAAGATCTGCTTTCATTTTATAACAGATGGCAGAATTTAATATTACTACTCTTTTTCGAAATTTTTGCAAGAGTAAAAGGAAAAACGGGGAAAAAAAACCGGAATATAGGTTGGGTCATTCAAATCACGCCTGGAATGCAAATACCTATAACTTAACATCTCCGCTTTTACGGTGTCGTTTTGTATTTTTTACGGAGGAAAAGAAAACTCGTGCTTAGCGTTTCTTCTTTTTCTGTTGTATTTTTTTTTCCTTTTTTCAATATTGATGTGTTTTATTTTTCTTATATAAAAAGAGTATTGAAATCATGATTTACCAACGTTAATTTTGATTTCACTCATTTTTGTTATCCTTACATAGTTTTTTATATTATCTCTAGTAAGTTAGACTAATTTTATACTAAATTATAAATGGTTAAAACATACTTTAGGTCGTTGTACTTTTGGTTGGTCTTATCGTACAATTTTTTTGTTAAGATTTAATAAGGTTGTTTTTATATATGTAGACATATAAACTAATTAGAGATTGAATATCTTTTTTAGTACAACAGGTAAGAGTCGATATTCGAATTCACGATATTTTAGTCAGTTTAAACCAGTTGAGTTGTACTCAAGTTAACCGACTAAATTTATTTATAAATTACAAATACTCAATCATTATTTAACAAAAGTTGCAACTAGGAGGTCACCAGATCATACGATTGAGTTATCGAAAAAGAAGGTGCAACTTGTTAGTATAGGTACTAATTAACAATTCTTTTAAGTTTTTTCTTAACCATGCTTCCATATTCAGGATCTCTCTCATTCGGATATGATATCGATTCATTCATGTACCCCTTCCTCTCTACACGAGCGTCACAATTTGATCACGAAAATGATCAAACTCAAACTCGGTAGACCGACATATGAAGGACCTAAAAAACAAAGTTAGCACTACGATTTTTAGTCAATTCACAATGAGAGAATATAGTTTCACATCCCTTGTGTGAGAGGCGAAGATCTCTATTTATAGCGAAAAGCTCCCAACACAGCTTCCGACAGCACTTTAACGATTCTTCGACTGCTCAAGAAACGCCGCGGTCCTATCAAAGAATATCCTCATTGTCTTTGCACCTGCAGATGCTCTTTAAGGTTGGTTGGATAATAAGATGTTGCTAAGCTCGACTTTCATTGTCAAGCTGTCTAGACTTGAACAAAATTGAAAAATTCGTTTGGCTCTTCTAATCATCATATAGAAGCTAGTTTATGAAGCAGACATGTGGTAGATGCTAATTTACCTCCAACAGTCTCGATTCGATTTTTATAATGTAAGGATTTAATCCGAGTAGTTTATAGAGATATTTTATCTCTATTTAATTTATTAATATGTTAAAAATCTCATTAAATCTAAAGAAGATTTTCTGTAATTGTAATTGCACAGAGGAGAAGCAATTGAGCAGGGAATTAATTGGCCGTAGGATTAGTTGAGCAGTTTCCATAGAAAGGGAGCAACAATTTGAAGTTGGGTGGTCCTGGTGGGTCTCCTAGCTTACCTTCCATCTCTACTCCCAAACAAAGAAAAGTCATACTAAGATAAATAATTAACTAATATAGTTTTATCCTCTAATGATAACCTTTTCATTTTTTTTCCTTCCTTGTTTCCTACTAATAATTTTTTAGGAATATAAACATTTAATAATCAAAGGAAAATTTTATTTTTTAATATAAGCATAAAGTTTATCTTTTGTTTCTTTGTCCCATTATTATTATTTTTTTTTCTTAAACAAAAATAAAAGCATTATTTTATCGACTTATAAAATACATAATAAATATTTTTAAAAATAATTTTTATATATAAATATAAATTTAAAATTTTAGAGAACAAAAACAATAAATAAATTTCGAATAAATTTCTATTTTAAATATTAAAAAAGAGAAAACAAAAATTGAGAAACCATACACTTCTTATGCATTTAATCGGTGATCTTGAAGCAAGAAATTAAAAATAAAAGATTTATATGTTTTGGTAGTAGATTTATAAATTGAATCGCAAATTTTAAAAGAAAAAATGTTAAGAATATTTACTAATATATTCATAGAGTGGTAGTTAATAACTAAATATTTACTTCAATATAAAATAATATTAATTAATTTATTAACATATGTTATAAATTTTATAAAATTATTATCTTATAATATTATGTAATTTATAATATACTATTTTAATAAAAATAATACTGAGTTTATAATATCAAATATTATTTATATCAAAGTTTTTATTTAATGTAATTCTGTTTCAGAAATCAAATCTGCCAACTGCCAACTGCCAACAGAGTGAATACCTCAATCGTGAAACGTTTTTCAGTCCTCGACCTCGAATAGTTGAATTTTGTAAAGTTTTTATTTTATTTTATTTTTATTTTTCTTAGGGTTCTCCAAAGTCCAAAACCAAACTTGTGGGAGTGGGAATCAAGGCGATGAGGCGTGGCGGCAATCGCATTAAAATCGTGTCATTTTTCGGCCTCTGTCCCACAGACTTTTTGGCTTTTGGCTGGAGCTTCCACTAGAATCGTGAGCAATCCCATTTGTTGCTGACGTTAAGCTTCTTCCATAAGGAGGCTTCATTTTTCCCCTTTTCAAATAAACCCACCAACTGAAAACTGGATCCATCGTGCTACTCGCAACCCATGCAAAACAGAAACACTTCGCTCGTGCTGTGAACACGTGCTGAATTCGCCGGCGCCGGCTGCGGTGGCCAGAAAATGATCGGCTCGTGGGTTGCTCTAGTTTTGCTCTTGTGGGAGCTGTTTTTGAGCTCTTTGGTTCATTTGGTGTACGGCTTGTATATTTTCAGCTCCGCCGTCGCCGGAGACTTTTCAGAGGCTCTCAGTTCACGGTTTCGTAAAGGTAATTTGGTGAATTTTGAGGCTAAAACAGTGGGGCCGATGAAGTCGTTAGCGTTACCATCATCAAGCAATCTTCCTCCGATCGTTTTGGTCCATGGAATCTTTGGTTTTGGAAAAGGGGTTCGTACTTAACGGTGATCGCTTTCAAATTCTGCCCCCATTTCTCAATTTTCTGATGTTTTTGCTTTTTGATTTCGTCCATTTTAGAGATTGGGAAACTTGTCGTACTTTGCCGGAGCTGAGAACAAAGACGAGAGGGTTCTAGTGCCTGATTTGGGGTCCTTAACCAGCATTTACGACAGGTTTGTGATTTTTTTTCAAGCTTTTTTTTCTGCTGTTTGGATCTTGAATTTGAAATTGGGTTTCAGGGCTCGTGAATTGTTCTACTGTCTGAAAGGTGGGCGAGTCGATTATGGCCAAGAACACAGTGAAGTTTATGGTCACTCGCGATTCGGCCGGTTCTACCAACAAGGTGATTTGGGAATCGGAAAAATCAATTTTTATTGCATTTTTGTACTATTTGTTATAATTTTCACCAGTCCACCCACTCTGGAAACATTAAACTGAAAGTTTATACGGGTAAAAATTGGATTTCTTTTCCTTTTTCTCTCTCTGTTTTGGCCAAAAAGTTGTGTTGATTGGGGAATGCAGGGCACTACCCTGAATGGGACGAGGATCATCCTATTCATTTGGTGGGCCATTCAGCCGGAGCTCAGGTTGCTCGTCTGCTCCAACAAATGCTGGCCGACAAGGTAACTGAAGAAACGACATTTCTACTCACTGTTATAACAAGGATGAAGACTTTGTGATGTTTTTATGTGTCGGTCAGGTAATTTTCCGACACGACAAATTGTGACTGTTTGTTCTTCAATTTGGGTGCAGGCATTCAAAGGGCACGAGAACACTTCTGAGAATTGGGTTTTAAGCGTAACGGCCATATCAGGGGCGTTCAACGGAACCACAAGAACTTATTTGGACGGAATGCAGTGAGTTTCTCTCTAAAAAAAAATGACACTTTCTTGTTCTCTCATGGTAAAAATATTGGCAAAAGATCGATTAAATTTTTTGGTTTGAGTAGTAATTTAATCGACCAGAGCATAAGGTCTCAATTCCATTAGTTACGAGGTAGACAATCGAACTATCGGACCTCAGTATTACCGAGCCTCCCTTGAAATAGTCATTCATCTATCCATTCTCAAATTACAATGAGAGTTTGCTCTAATTTAAAGTTCCACGCACATCCAAATAGAGCACACCATGAATTATACCGTGACTATATCTTTCAAAGCTCACCACTTCTTTGTTCAACACTCGAGTATCTCACCGACACAGCTAGGTTTAAACCATGGTTATGTTTGGAGCCATTCCAACAAGAGACCCTCCACACTCCCACGATGCTATGATATTGTTCGCTTTAGACATAAGTCCATGGCTTTGCTTTTGATTTCATGCAAAATGTCTCATACTAATAAAAATTGTTGTCTCTCACATATATACCCAGTATCTTCACTTTCCTTAGTCAAAATGAGACTTTGGTTGCATTATTTACAAACTCATATCTTATTTTATTCCCTAGACTATACTCGGATTGACTATTTCCTTCTCGATTGATCGTCCATGTGTTAAATTACTTGCAGCGTATATACTTAAACTTTTTTGGGTCAGTGATTTTGAATTTGGACTCGTCCATTTTTGTTTCCCTTTTTTATTTTCCTTTTTCAGACCAGAAGATGGAGAAACCATGAAACCTATAAGTCTGTTGCAGCTGTGCCGAGTTGGGGTCATAGCTTATGACTGGTTGGACATCACGTGGTTGAAAAAATATTACAACTTTGGATTTGATCATTTCAACATGTCATGGAGGAAAAGTGGTGTTTTGGGTGTGTTGAAATGTTTGTTGGGAAATGCAGGTCCATTTGCTTCTGGGGATTGGATTCTGCCTGATCTTACAATTCAGGGATCAATGCGATTGAACCGCCGTCTTCAGACGTTTCCCACCACATACTATTTTAGCTATGCTACGAAGCCTGCAAGGAAAATCTTTGGCCTCACAGTTCCTTTTAGCATCATTGGAATCCACCCTCTGCTTTCTCTCAGAGCATTGCAGATGAGCTGGTGGCGCTTTCCTTCCCCGCCGTATAAGGGCTATCGGTGGGTGAATACTACGGGAGTATTAGAAATTTTTCATTTTGTAAAAGCATTCAGATCCTATTTAATAATCATTTCATTTTCGTTTTCTATTTTTCGAAACTCTACCTGATTTCTAGCATGATTTTTACCTTCTTTGAAATCACAGTTAATTCGTAACCAAATTTTAGAAATAAAAATTGCTTTTTTTAATTTTAAAATTTTGACTTAGATTTTTAAAATGCTTTTAAAAAGTGATTGCAAAACCAAGGTATAGACAAAAATAGTGTTTTTAAGTTCAATTTTTTAAAATAGAAAATGAAAGACGAAATAGTTATCAAACAGAAGTTAAAGTTAAATAGAGAATTTGGTGGAATCATTGGTTGGAGAATGACAGTGATGGGCGTGCAGGGACGAGGATTGGCAGGAGAACGATGGGGCATTAAACACAATATCTATGACTCACCCACGTTTCCCAGTTGAACATCCAAGCCATTTCCTTCTGAATGAATCTGAATTTCAGTCTTGGGAACCAGGCGTCTGGTTAGTCCACTGCTCACTCTTCTTTATCAGCATTTCCCCCATGATTTTTCAATATTAATCTGAAATAGTCCACGAACACTGAGTGAACGATTGGGATTTTTTTCTTTTAAGAGATCAGAAACACCAAACTTAAGCTGATCAATGGTTAAGCAAACACCCCATGATTTTGCTAATTGAATCCTCGGTTGTCGATTTCAATTTTCGGAAAATCGGATGCAGGTACTACAAGATTGTGGAAGCAGATCACATATCATTCATTATAAATCGGGAGCGAGCAGGAGTTCAATTCGATCTGATATACGATGGCATTTTTGAGCGTTGCAGAAAACATGCATTTAGGAGGAATAAACTCACCTTGCCAAACCAAGTACATTGAAGTGCAACCGTCCAATAAACTCGAGAGAATTTTTACTTTCCTAAATTTATGTTTACCTTGTAGTTTCTGTTAGATTAATGTTATTTATACAGTTTTTGCTCATACACAGGGATTAATAGGCCAATACGTTTGAAAAAATCAATGGTTATAACAAAAATAAACAGATAGAAATGGACTAATTGAGAGCAAATATGAGCAAAAGAGAATTCAATCAGACCACCTAGTGTAGTAAGAAAGAGAAGGAAAAAAAAAGAAGAAATAAACGAAAAGGAACCCTTCTCAGTTACTATGGACTTACAAAAGCTGCAATATGCTTCACAAACAAAAGACAAGTAGAAAACAGACATTTTTCCCCCACCAAATCCTCTACAACAACAAATCCTTAACTCATCCTGTGATTATTAACTGAATAATTCACGACATATGAACTCCGCAGAATGAAACGTCTATATATCAAAGTAAGTAGTTTTCATATGAGCCTTAATTCATACTCTCCAGCCATTGTGATGTATCTCACCCATGGAAGAGCCTGGTAACCACTTTTCTCAATAATCTTCAAGTAACGAACCTACGAAATCACCGGATTGCACCATAAACATTCAAATTAAAAAAAAATAAAAAAAAAATCCGGACTGACTCCTAGTTTCTTGCTAGTAAAGAGGAACATTATATCTTCTCCCAAAGGTTATGTTTATTCAACTCCAAAATACGTGTATATTTTACCCGGTTATCCATATCCCTTCGGTTTCCACAAACATAGTGTAACAAAAAAGATAAATTTAGATCATATTTTCTGAGTCAGACATGCAAATCTACCCAATCTAACTGTGTTAACACATCGCAGATAACAGAATAAATACAAGCCTAGGTCAATTTACTTCTTCAAGAAGCACGCCAACTTTTCATGAGGCAAAGTTTGGACAGAGTAAAAAGAATATGCCCATGATCTCATCCTAAAAAATCGAGAGATTTTGGAAGATATAGTATGCTTTAAGGGATTTTCTTGCATGGAAAAATCAGAGGGATTTATCATGTCATTGAACGACAAACATGAATAGCGAGAGTTAAAAGAAAGCATATGGAAGGCCTACCTGGATTCCAGAAACAGTAAAATATGGTATCTCGAACTTTACACGAATTGGTGCTTTTCTCTCTGGAGTTGCTTCTTCAGATGTAATTGAAGGAAGGCGAAATTCTGCCCTTAACATGTACTCCTGAATTTTTCCAGATTATGGTCAAGAACATTGTCTTCTTGAATCCACCAGCTATTCATACATAAAGTACCATTCATGGAAATGCAAAAAAATTTTTAAATACCTTGCCACCTGGAAAAGATCTTATTTTCCAGCATAACGCATCATTTTCTGGTGCATAAGAAGCAGACCCCATTGAGGTCCGAACATTTGGGTTGGTAGCATCTGCTGGCACAGGCAACTCAATCTCCACATTTGTTGCAGTGCTGTAAGATTGACCTTTTATTAGTAAGAAGGATCTAGTCCTCTAGGAAGATAATAATCTTAACTGACCTCCCTAAAACCTCTTCTTTTGAACCAAAAAAAAAAGAGAGAGAGAACAAAAAAAAGAGGCATATTTTAATACCTACGCTCCTTGAACTGACTTCTTGCTTTTACCATAATCTCAATACGACTTTTTGAATGTCTTTCAACTTGAGCTTCTACCCAAATAAGAGGCTTTACCTGTCAACAAAAAGAAGGGAACACATTAAATAACAAAATAGAAGGAAGTAAAGGAGTAAGCCAGCAGTGACCAGAGAATAGCATCCACGTGGATATATAAAACCTGAGTGCTGAGTCTATAAGTCATGAGATCAAAAGATCCATCTGGTGGTATGAATGATATGGTCCGATCATTTTCAAAGCGGGCCAAACGTACACACCTAAAGTAAAAAATAAGCACCGAGTTAAAAACTCGAGGCAATACAAAATATAAGCATTTAATTAGAAACTTGAGGCAACGCTTATAAAGTCGTACGTTATTATATTAGCATTCATGCCCAACATGGTACACGGATATTATTAATGCCAGAAAATAAATACACCAAATGGTCAATAACTTGATACATACTGGTGAAATTTGATGTCTTCCAAATCTATAGCCTTTCCTTTTGTGGTTCGACCTTGTGCTTCCAATAATACTCTATCGTTAAGCCCAAGCTTACACTCAGGCATACCACTACAACAACAAACAAACCAAACCTTAATTTTCAGCTTATCAACTAGGATACAAATGGCATGAGAAGGATGGACTTAAAAGCAAAGAAATGAGACTTTCAATATTACCACAAGGCCAAGTTGCAAATGAGTACAAATGTATATAATAACAAATCGCTGAAATGCAAGAACAGAAACGAAGAAATGGAGATTTCAACAATACCATAAAAACAATATCCACATATTTCAAAAGTTAACACTTCTTGTTAGCTTACTAAGATGATTAAATAGTCAATGTCCTGAATGGTTTAGTTTACCAGTTCAGAGTTTGCTAAAAAAAATTTAAAATCATTTCTCACTTGAAAGCGAAATAGAGAGCAAACCAATAACAGGTGTCTCCATGACCATAAATTTTTTCATGACGACAAGGAAAAGTACTCTATAGAATATTGCGTGCAATATACAAGTGAAGAAAGTACTAGCTTCATCCGTGTCAATATGCAAACATCTTAAAGCACAGCACACAGACCTTAAGTAAGTTCTCATCTTCAACGCCCCCACAACATCTGACCTAATTATTTGCCCATTACTGTTGACAAGTATATTAACGCTCTCCACCACATCCAAAAAGACCTGGAGAAATAAGAACAGGACATTACCTACTACGCTTTAAAAGTCACAAATGAATATATGCAGCTTATTCTTTCAAGGAACACATACTTCATTCTTCTTGTAATTTATTCCTTCGCTACGCCAAGAAACTGCATTTGTTACTGCCATGGGTGGCCTCTGAGCAACCTCCATTCTGTAAGCGTCAGTCTTGATGAACTCGCTAAGAATTTTTGCCTCAGTGTATTGAGGATAACCAAAGTCCATGATTTCATCAAGTAACTCATACTACAAAGAATATAAGTATTAATATTTTCATTCACCACCTGACATAGATCACAACACATGATATGGTAAACAATTTAAGAAATTTCTGATGGTTCAATCTGTGAAAGGCTCATCTTACCACCACAACAAAGTTGTCTCTAAGTGATTCTTCTTCCAGCTCTTCAAAATAATGCTTGAAGACCTGTAGCACAGCCATTCATGTCCATTATTTATTAGTTTTTCTCATCACGATACATATTTGCTCTGAAGTCCCAAAACCTACCTACAGCTCACGATACATATTTTATAAGAATCCCAATAGGCTTCCATTACCACAAGACACACACCAAGAAAAGCAAACTAAAGGGACAAAAAAAAACTATTCTGCTGTTATTGATAGAAAAACGAACCATAATTAGCCTTTAATTTCAGAAATCCTATCCACAATTTTAACGAGCTAAGTAACTTCAGGAACAAAGATAATGTGCAAACTATCATCAATGCCAATTAAACATGTTTAAAATACCAAAGGACTCTTTTGGAGAACGCTATGATAATAGGTACAGCTTACATCAACAACTCGGTGCAAAAAGGAAAGAAGACTTGCAGCATTGCAATTCTGCCTCGCAGCAACCATCAGGTAAACATTATTGTGCTGAATAAACATGTAGCTAATGCCACTGTCGAAAACTACTGGATCTTGAGATTGTGGATCACCCTGACATCAAAAGAACTGACGATAAGAAACCACACAGTAACATTCTACGGTCAGACAAGCTAATGAAATTCAGATTTTCAATAAATTGTCAGGTGGAGATTCAAATCATCGTATCCTGTCAATTCTGTCTTCGAATCTGCTTCCTAATGCCATACAAGAAACAAATCCAAAACGAGCACCTCCAATTTCTCCGATTCAGACGCATTCATCGTCTATTTACTTGTGAACAATCAGTAAATCACTCATCCTAAAACGCAAATTAGACTATGATTCTATCAGGGAGTCGTTAAATTAAACAAAAAATCCAAAACCTCCTTCTCGATGAGCTTGGTGAAGAAGCGCTCGGCCTGAACTGCCGAAACATCGCCACGATAGTCGCGCCAAATGAGAACACGCCCTTTGATGTCTAATAGGAACAGCGCAGAGGCCGCCCCCGCCATTGATTTAAATCAGAAAACGCTCTGTAAAATTACTAGTAGAAACAATTCTTCCTCCCGCTGGCTAGGTTGTTCAAGATCAAACCGGGTGAGCATAAGAAATCGATGGAGATCTCGCGATTTCCACCAGAAGAATCAACTGGCCAGAAAGGTAGATCTACTTGAATCAATTCGACACATCGTCCAGCCAGAAACTTGTATCTGGATACCGACGCTGAACCATTAGTAGAGAAAGAACGATCTGCGCAAGCAAATTCCAATTGCCGAGTTTTTTTAGTTTACAATTGAGTTTTCCTTTTCCTCCCTTTTTCTGATAATAAACTCAAAAACAGCGTAAGGGATGTGAAAAATACTTTCCAATTTATATTTTTTTGTCGGGACGAAAGAATTACTTCAAAAAAATATTATTGAAATACTTGCGTGTATTTTTCTTTTTCTTTTTTTTTTAAGTAGACTTTTTTTTTCTTAGTTATATACAAACTATTTTAAATTTTGTTTTTTAGTATAATATTTTTAAATTTTATTGTTATTATGTTAATTGAAATTTATCTGTATAATTTTTTTTATCATTTATTCACCGTATTATAAACATTAAATTATTTAAATCTAGTTTTTGTTTTAAAATTATAACTAATCTTCGTAAGGACTCACATCTATAGTTTCATCAATTGATTTATGTTTATATCCATAACTAGATTTTATTTATTGGACGTAATCAATAGACAATTTAAAATTAATATTTTTATACGTACAATAAAAATTAAAAAAAATTATTAAGTATACTGAAATTCTATCTTATTTTTCAATCTAAGTCTCTCGGGATGAATTAATATTAAAATTAAAATACTACAAGAAATTAACTTGATTTACCAACTTATAAATGCATTTTAGCACTTTGCATAAAGATAAATGTATTTGAGATTTTCACCTCACAAATATGGAAATTAATTTAGTCTATAAAGTTTTAGTTTTATCTCTTTACTCCTCCATTTTTAATAAACTGAATTTATGCATTTCATTTTCTTTATAACTTTTAACGAGAACTAACCTCATTATATTGTTTCTTAAGAAAAATATTGAATGTTCAAAAAGTTTAGATCTTTTACTTTATTTTTGATTATTCAATATGTTTAAATCTTGTATTATTAATTATTTTTTTAATTTCTAAGCAAGTACTGAATATATATGTTCATTTATTATTTTTCATGTCATTTAACAATTAAATATACGTGATAGATGCTTTCATTAATTATTGACCCAAAATTATATTTAAAAAGTTTTCATTTTCACAAAATAAACTGCAACATGTTGAGTGGAGATTGGAACATCCTCCAGCGTGGGAGTTTTTTTTTTTTTTTTAAATATCCACGCGTGCTTCTTCTTTGACGCTGTAAATTGCCAGGTTGCAGCAGATAAATTTAATGAATTTACAATCATCCTTCGTCCCACAAAACAATACAAAATGAAAAAAAATAAAAATAATAGTAATAAAAAAAAAGTATGGAATGTGAGGTTCAGTTAGTTATTAATGGTTGATCATCTTCCACTGAAGAGGCCGCTGAAAACCTGGCTGCTCCCGCCCAGCGAAGCCTCCCACTCGACGGCCGAAGTCACGAGCTGCGACAGCAAAGCAACAATCTCCCGCATCTCCGGTCTCCCCACCGGATTCTCGTTCAAGCACCATGCTGCTATCTCCCCCATCTGCAACCACCCGTGCGTTCAAAATCTCATTATTAATATTTATGGATTTCATCTCAAAATCAGTACGAAAGAAGTAGACATTGTTAGGTCTCTTCTCTTTTTAATGTTGGATTCTTGACACTTCCTAATCACCCACTTAAAACTATTTTCTATTCAAGAAGTATTCAATGGCTCAAATTACAAGTCACTCAATTATAAAAAAAATGTTTCTAACACGTATGCTAACTTTCAATTTTATCCCTTGTACTCTAAATATCTACAATAGCATGATATTGTCCGTTTTAGACATACGACTTTATTTTTCATGATAATTGTCCTCATCTATATACTCATGATATTCCCTTATTTAACCAATGTAAGACTTTGATCGCATTTTCAAAAAGGTTTAATAAATTTGTATCATATTCCAAGTTTAATGAAATTTAAGAACCTACATAAATTTTGTTAAAATATTATGATTTTCTAATTATAAGACATAAGGCTCATAAGTTTATTGTGTATATATGATAGAAACTTGGTTATATACACGAAATTGTAAGGTTAAGGTAGTTTTAAACTTCAAAGACTGGAGACATAATCTTATAGACTTTTTAAAGTATCCTAAATGACCAAACTCACTTCATTCTACGTTTGGCTAATGTTTCTTACCTCACTGAAAATGCTTTTGCCACGAGCACCGACGAAAAAGTTATAAGTTGAATTTACCTTGTAAACATCGTCCATCGGATAGCCGGCTTGCAGATTTCCATCCACGACAGCTTCCAGAGCAGCCTCAGAGTCTTCCCCTTGGAATATCGTATAAATCTAAGCAACACCGCAATCGAATCCACCATAAGTTATTTTAAATACTGCAGTACTTATTTTGTACTGTAGCAAATGCAATTAATTTTGTTAAACTTGAAATTAAAATTCACCAGCGTGATTAACGATTTGGTTCTCTTCGGCTCTTGGTTGTCTCGTACCAGTGCTCTTCTTCCTGTAATGAGCTCTGCCAGAACCACTCCAAATGCAAATACGTCTGTTTTGGGGGTCACTTGAAGCTCTTTCACGGATCTTATTCATACATTTTGGAGGGCGAGAAAGAATTCAGTAATACGATCCAAAAATTTGAAGAATGGATGATTTGGTTTGTTTTGTCTTACTCTGGAGGGAGATAGCCCGGTGTTCCGACAAGTCGGGTTGCTACCAGTTCATCTTCGTTGGTTCGTCCCACTAACTTGACCAGTCCAAAATCTGCAACCTGCAGAAAGACAACCACCAAACAGAGTATTTAGTATGAAAAATACTTAGTGCTTGTGATAATGTCTTAGTTTCTCGTTATCCCTATCTTAATTCTCAAACATTTAAAAGGGTCAGATTATCATGGATAGGATATAAGACAATTAGTGGCCTTTTACATTTCTATAATATATATGTGAGAGGATCCGGAAATATTATTAGTACATTAAAGAAAGGGCATTATAGTAATTAGCGAGAAGTAAGTTGAATATAAATAGGGATAGTAGATAGAGAAGAAGAACATCTTGGAAAATAGTAATTTAAGATGAGAATTTGGGAGAGAGATAACCGTCTTGAAAGCCTATTGATATTATAATGTCACTTTGATATTGCAATATAGTTATTATTTCGTTCAATGTATTTGARATCCTAATATTATTCGCTTTAGATATAAACTTTCGTAGTTTTGTTTTCTGTTTCACCYTAAAGGTCTAAGTTCATTGGAGATATTGGAGATGTTGTCCCTAAGGTATATATTTATGATCTTCTCTATCAACTCATGTTAATGATAAAAACTAAAGATAAATATAATTTAAAATTTATAGACRTAATTAGTTTATATTTTTCTTATTTCAAGGACTAAGTAGATATAATGGTTTGAGTCTCAATTGACAAAATTTGTAATTCATTCTTTTAAGTTATTTTTTACACATCTTAAATACCTTTGCTCCAAGGCTTTCATCAAGAAGGATATTACTTGTCTTGATGTCACGATGAACATATCGTGCTTTAGTATGGTCATGAATATACTCAATACCCTTCGCTGCATCTAGGGCGATCTGTGTTCTTGAAGTCCACGAGAGAGGTTGGTACCCTAAATCAATATAATACCAATTTCCATCCATTAATTTTTTCAATCTAAGAGATTAAATTTGTTGAGAATCTTATATTGAAACGATAAAGAATCTAACAAAGGTATATAAGACTACTCGWTTTATTTCCAACTGAATTTAAGATAAGATCCTATGAATCTTGATATGTATTAGAGTCCAACAAAGATCTATGGGACTGTTCCTCCCATTGTGTTTTTTAAAAACTCAAGAATCTSAAAAATAATTTGAGTACCTTTTTTTAGTGGATCATGRAGATGATCGCTCAGCGATCCATTTTGAACAAACTCATAAACCAAATATAGATGGTCATCCCCACTAGCATACCCCAAAAGCTCGACCTGTAGAGTTTTACCCATTCATAATACTGAATATCGATGTTTTAGATTGTTCATCAAAATCTCATATTAATATATGTACATTGCATATGAATAAAGATAGAGAATTCAAACCTAAAACTATAACATACTAACGGTTGATCATTTGTCACGACAACAGTAAAATGAATCATAATTTGGTGGGATTAGTGTAAAAAGCTTACGACATTAATATGATGGATCCTGCACAAGACTTTTAATTCTGCGAAGAACTCTTTGGATTTATTAGATTTCATTTTCTTAATTGCAACCTCCTGCAAAGTTTCAAATTAAACAAGCAATTATAAATTTTATTTTTCTGTCGTTTTGTAGAAAAATAAAATAACAAAAAAAATAACAGTACCTGTTCACCCAATACTCCATAGTAAACAGTTCCATATCCACCCTCTCCGATCTTGCGAGATTCATCAAAGTTAGCCGTGGCCTCTTCGATCTCCTCTACGGTGAAAATCACTGTTCTTTCTGACTCAAATCCTGAAACTTCTGTAAATTGTATTTTTACCGTAAGTAACTAAGCAATTAGTCTCTAATTCTCTGTTATCAAAATAACTTTATTTGTTTTATCTCACCCGTTCTAAATGATTTCTTTTGAGCTTCCGACTTCTCCCTCGAAAATGGATATTGCAAGCTGAAGGTTCTGAAACTACTAAAACTCTTGGAGGGAGGTTTTGGATTTTCGAGCTCGTTGTTTTGCTGTGACCTTTTTAGTTTTCTCCGTACGAAGATGATAATCAATGCGCATAATGAAACTACAGTCAAAGTTGATAATATTGCAACAACTGTTGTCCTTATGTGTCTCTTTGCCGATCCTAATCCCACAGAAACAGAGCATATTTGCTGTAATTTACTTTTTAAATAAGTTTTTATAATCTTAATTACATTTTTAAAATGAAAAATGGTAGTTTTCAGAATTTTTATTTTTTTATGTTCTATATCTGGTTATACTTGACTCGTTCAAACAACTTTAATTTTWAATTTTTAATTATAACAATTTGAATATTAAACCTGATAACAACCATTACTATGGCTAGAGACCATGCAAAACATAATTCTATATTTTCTTARACTAAATTTGGACACTTTGTTGTTTAATTTGGGTACCTTTTATCCTATGTTTAGATTTGGACTTTTTTTTAATGTCGATTTTCTAATTTTTTGTAAAAGATATTAGTTATTTTAGTTAGTAAAAATAAAAAATTTATGATCCATTTTCTGTTTTCTATTTTCTAAAATTATATATATTTTTTCCTAAGTGTTTTTCACTCCCTCTAAACAAAACACATTTCAATTCTTAATTAAATTTAAAAAAAAGCAAAAAATCTATTTCTTTTAGTTTTTATAGATTTTGAAAATATTTTTAGAATGTTAAAACAAAGACATAAACTATTAAGTGTAGTAAGTAGTTGCGGTAAGTTTAATTGAAAAAAGAAAAAAGAACCTAATGTTAAACTTACTTGTCCGGTAAAAAAGTGATTCTTCC